TTTATTTATATATATATATATATATATATATATATATATATATTCTGTTGTGACTTGGCGCTATATAGAAAAACTTAATTGAATTTGGAGGCAGTGTTAAACAAACACACACGCAAGGTTTATTATTATCAATTAAGACTCAGTACTCAACAATATTTATTCATTTATGTATATTACTTTACACCAGGCAAAATAATTTATTGTTACAATTACAGTAACTTTTTTGGCAACTATTATCCCACAAGTTTCAGTAAAACCAGCAGCAGCACTTTCATGCTGTTAAACTAATACCAGTAGTTTGTGACATTAACTGTAAATTAAAATACCAGATTGTACTGTTGTTTTTCATACAAGTAAACAGCACTGTAACAATATTTTCTTTAGTATACTTAAAACTATATCTTATTATATCTAATTTAGTTCACTGAACTTTTCTGGACTGAATAAAAATATAAACAAGACTTTTGTTTTTGCTCCCATTTTTCATGAGCTGAACTCAAAGATTGAAGACTTTATCTATGAACACAAACAGCCTTTTTCTTTCAAATACTCTTCACCTATTTACGTGAATCTGTGTTAGTGAGATGATCCATCCCCCTGACAGGTACGAAATGGTTTCTGGATCTTCATCTGTAGTGCAGCCTGTCACACGTTGTCTATAAAGCACCTCTGATGGAGGAGCTTTCACCCCAGAGTTAAAAACAATCGTTCTGTAGAGCTGAAGGCGTGTGTGGCGTGGCTGACACCGTTAATCCATTTATTAAAAAGCTCAGACATCAGAGGGTTATGAACGCTTCTTATATAACGATAATCCTGCAGTGAAGGCCCTTTGGTGCAGCACATGATAACAATCTTTGGATTGCTGTGTCTTGGAATGTTGCTGGAGGTTTATTATTTAAAAATAATAATTTTGAGTCTTTTCTTTGTGGCGCAGTTTCCTGCTTAAATAAGTATTGTTTGTTTTTTGGTCTGCATGTGTGAGAGGACAGAATTAACATTAACAGTCCTGAGCCTGGACCTCCTACACTCAATGATGAAACTGACATTTACACTTGAATTTTCATTGACTTTGACATAAACTCATTTACATGTTGTGTTTACATAAACAACAAAGAATGATCGATCATACAAGACCTTAACTTGATCTCAAGAGCGGTCAGCTTCAAACATCAGCTGGGACCGGGAGAAGGGTCGAAACATCACATCCTTACGCTTTGGTCTAAAAAGAAGGTAAACTCAACGAGCAAACTTTCACATAAAATGATTCAAAATCAGGCAGAAATATATAAAAATAAAGACTGAAAAGAAAAACAAAGGTAACGAGAAGGATACAGACATTTAACACGCTGTTGACCTTCAACCAAAGATTAAGCGTGTGTTAGGATTTTTTTTTTGTTGTCTCCAAACCCAATGTGTCATTTTTCACCACTTTTTATTGTCTGTCCAAACAGGTCTCAATTGTAAATGAGTCTTCGAGGCTCAATGTGACGTATCTGTTTAAATAAAGGTTGAATTGAATTGAATTGAAAATTTAACAAGAGTAAAGAAAAAACTGAACATGTATTTATTTATTTACTTCTATAGCGCTTTACACAACCACGGTGATGGTGACCAAAGTGCTTAACAAAAACAGCAATTAAAATGACAACAAGTTAAAAGCAAGAAAAACACTATAAAATAACAAAAAGAGAACCAGAAATGTCACCACATATTTAAGTACTAAAAGCCTGATGGAATAAAAAAGTCTTAAGCTTCGATTTAAAAGGGCCAAGTTCAGTAATCTGACTGATTTAAATCAGATTATATTGGAAATGACCATCAGTCATTTATGTTTTAACTTTACCAGTTATCAAGTCAGAAAATAAAGACATTACTGTCCCTGCAGCCTAACTCTGGCACAAACAGAGGATGATGGATGATGGATGGATGATGGATGATTGATAGATGATTGATGATGGATGGATGGATGATGGATAGATGATGGAAAATGGATGGATGATGGATGATGGATGGATGATGGATGATTATGATGGATGATGGATGATAGATGATTGATGGATGGATGATGGATGAATGATGGATAATGGATGATTGATAGATGATTG